CACACACACACACACACATCCACACACATTACCCACTCACACATACACAATCTCCACACACATCACACACACACACACATCTCCACACACATCACACACACACACGCACACAAACACAAACACACATACACACACCTACATGCATATCAGCTGAGCCAGCGTTCCCTCAGTTCTTTTTCTTTTCTCTTTCTCGCAGAAGTGTCGTACGGCATACGTATACATAATGTCGCATATCTATCGAGTAATAACAGAGCGGACTTCGCAAAACAAACGAAGATAATTGCGTGCAGTCTGAGACACTGAAAACCGTTCTTTTCGCGTTATTCTGCGCCGTCCCTTATCTTCTTTCCCTGTTTCTTTTGGCTCTTTTGACGGTCTCTCTTTTACTTCTTTTAGCTCTCCCTTCACTGTGCCTCTGATGTACAAGGGTCTCCACATTCATGCAGTTCAGTGCGAGATGGCTACACCCACTTGCACGCACGCTAAGAGAAAGAGGGAGAGTAAGGCGAGAGGGAGAGGGAGAGGGAGAGGGTAGACAGAGAGGGGAAAGATGAAGCGAAGGAAGACAAAGGAGAAAGTAAGGAGTGTGTGGAATAGAGAGACGACCGTGTAGAGGAGGATAAGAGAAGGCTCAGGAATCGGTCAGTCTATCCTCGACGACACCGAGGAGACCTGGTGTCTCACCACCAGGAGGCTGAAACCCTATTTTTAATACATATATATTGTCACATGAATATCAGAGCGCAAATGCGAAAAAAAAGAAACAGGAAAATTTGAATTCGGTGTTTTATCTTCTTCCTTATAACTCCCCCTGTTCAGAACCTCTTGCGTACAAGGCCGCCCACGTGGATGTAGGTTGAGCGGAGGCTGCCCCCACCCCCGTGTGTCATATCGACCCACTTGCACACAGCCAAAAGGCAAAGAGGCAAAGAAGAGAGAAAGGGAACAGCCAAATAAAACAGAACAGGGGCCAACAAAACAGATCCCAGATGACAAGTCCCACATGCAAGCACCGCCCCTGCCCATCGTCACATGAATATCAGAGCGCAAAGGCGAAAAAAACAGAAGAAAACAAGAAAAACAATAATTCGTTTTTTTATCTTCTTTCTTACAACTCCCTATGTATATGTATATATATCGTCAAATAATATATATCGTCATCTATATATAGTCAAACAGAACTGCCTGGTAAACCGCAGGCAGAGAGGGAGAAGTGGACAACAAACGACGGACTGTAATAGACATACACACTGCAGATATACAAACTGTTTAATAGGAATTTAATTAACTTTAATCGGAATTTCACAGTCAGAAAACGGACGCCAGACCTGCCCCCCTATTGATAAGGTTGCTTGATTGATTGCAGAGAGCGTAGAGTACCTTCGCAAAACTTGCTCCACGATGCGGGGTAGATCCGCAAGCCTGACTACTATCAGTTATAAAGGCCAAGCTCCTTCTGAATCCCCCTACTCCACTGGCCGCCCCCACTGCCCTCCCCCCCCCAAAAAAAACCCAAATTGGGGTTTTTTTGGGTACCCCTCCGCCATAGCCACTTTCCCATTCTGCCCTTGTTTTTCAGCTTTTTCGTTAATGAGGTGAATTTTGTGTTTTAAAAAGGTGGACAAAATGTTCCAAGCAACGAGGAACTACCCACTAGCAACTACCGTCTTCCCTCGAACACAACGCACCCTGATTCCGAATGTATACAAGCTATCTTTCCGGCCCGGTTCAGCCAAAACGAGGGTTCGTTGTGTTCGCGGGAAGACGGTTGGGCGCAGTCACGATTTCAGGTTTAAATCCAGTTCAGACCTCCCTCGAATACAACCACCCCTCCCCACCTGACCCTAAAGCTGGGTTGTATACATTCACAATTTCCTCGATTTGACACAACATTCGCGAAATCCTCTGAAACGCATTTTCAAACTGAAACCGTGACAGCGCCCTAGTTTTCCCTTTATAAAATTAAAAAAAGGGCAAGGAAGAAAATACACTCAGAAATATAGTACGTAGGCTCGGTCATGAGCGGTATCCCGACAACTTGGGCCTCGCTGCATTACTCTTGAAATGCACAAACGACAAAAATCATGTCGCTGTATCTTTCCATGTTCTAGCGGAAGATTCGCTCTCGTTTTGCACCTTTCAAGAGTAGTGCAGCGAGGTCCCTTATCCCGACCACATCTGCGTTTTCCTTCCTTTCTCCACACCTAGGGCGTACTGACGTAGGACATAAAGTTGTATGGAGACAAAGTTGTATGTAGACATAAAGTTGGCCCGATACAGGCATAACGCTGGCCCGATACAGGCTGTCCTCCCTCTGAGATCTAGGTCGGTGGTCATCTTCACCGCCGTTCATGGGAATGAATCTTACCCTACTTTTTTTTCTACCCTTTTTTTTAATCTCTGTGCCACTAACTAGCAGCCCGCTCCACTACTCTCATCATCAAATGTGCAAAATGAGAATGAATCTTCCCCTAAAACATGGGAAGATACCGCCATTTTTTGTCCTCTGTGCATTTTGAGATAGCGGAGATAGCGGAGCGAGACCCTTAGACTGAATTGCATTGAGAGAAATAGCGTAAACTCATTTTTTTTTTTAGTTTCATATCCTGCATTCCGAAAATTAAGCCATACTAATTTTAAAAAAAAAAAAAAACAGAGTGTCCGAAATTAAGCCATACTAATTATAAAAATAAAAAAATTAAAAAAAAGGAAACAGAAACAGAAAGAATGTTTGATCCTGACTCAGAATGACCGCTGGTAGCGATATGCTTAACACATGCAAGTCGAACGAATTTTTTTCTCAGTTGAAAACAAAGTGATGAACTGATGCGTAACCCGTGGGAATCTACCGTTTTTCCCCGAATAGAACGCGTACGGTCATTATCGATGTCTCTGTGTGTAGGCAGAAAGTTGGCCTCAATACAGGCAAAACGACCGTACGTTTTTTATTCCGGGGAAGACCGTACCAAAAAGAGTTATGAGGAAATTTCGATCAACACAAATTTGGGAAGAATTGCCATCGTGAAAGGGAAGCCGTGGGCGAGGATGACCGTCCGGTCGATATGCCTGTATTAGGGGCAACTTTCTGTCTACATACCGACGCCGATAATGACCGTACGTTCTATTCGGGGGAAGACGGTAAACGACATCGCAAGAAAAGAAAAGAAGAGAAGTAAACAAAAAGCGTTCCACTTTCGTTGAGGGAGCACAGACACAGAGAGAGAGAGAGAGCATAGGCGGAGAGCATAGGCGGACAGCATAGGCGGACAGCATAGGCGGACAGCATAGGCGGGGAATGGCGAAGAAGAATAGTGATCGAAAAGAGTGGGCCATAGACAGCTTCGCGTACACGCGCATCAGGCGAAGAAGAAGAGAAACAATGTCAGGGGAGGGAGTACGAGAGCGGCGGCAGAAAGCGTCGGTGAAAAAATGAAAAGTGGAAAAATGAAAAATAAACGCGAACCCCGACGGCCCTACTAGAACTCTCGAAATACAGACCCAAGTCCGAATCAAGAAAAAAAAAAAGAATTAAAATATAAATATATATGTTTTAAAAATCCGAACAATTCTGGTGTCGGATCAGACGTCTGGGCAGTGTAAGTCGGTTTACCGTCCTATCCTTAACGCTTCACACGAGAGAAAAGAAGAAGAAAAAAAAGCGTTCCACTCGTTGAGAGAGCACACATAGAGAGAGAGAGAGGAGAGGCGGGCAAAGAAGAGAGGTGGATTTCTGGGAAACAATGTCAGACGTGATAAAGGGATAGACAAGACGAGGCACGCCCGGAGGGAGGAGAGACGCAGGGAGAAATGAGGAATGAGGAGAGAAGAATAAGGGGATAGATGAACGAGAGGGAAGGGGAGAGAGAGAGGGCAACTGCACGAAAGAGAGAGAAGACATCGAGAGCCAGCACCGAAGACGAGGATCTGTCCCGTTAATATAACATAGATAATAAAAGACGATGGATGGGCAAAGGCGACGGAAAATCGAGAAAATCGTCAACCTTGAAAACGCCGTGTAGAATCCCACGTAAAAGAACGAAAAGTACAATCTCACCTTCGTCTCTCTCTCTCTCTCTCTCTCTCTCTCTCTCTCACACACACACACACACACACACACACATATATGCACGCACAGACTCTCTCTCTCTCTCTCTCTCTCTCTCTCTCTCTCTCTCTCACACACACACACACACACACACACACACACATATGCACGCACAGACACACGCCTGACGAGTCGGCGAAAGTCCGACAAAACAATCTGTCACAGTCGTGCTTTTTTTGTGGAGTCGTATAGCGAACATCACACACACACACACACATACACACACACACGCACACACGCACACACGCACACACGCACACACGCGCACGCGCGTACGTGCACTTTAGGAGATAAAAGAGGAGCTTTCGATCCATCGATCTCTTAAAGCCAAAGCAATTTATTGGAGGTGATACAGTCAAGGCGGGAAATAGGAACATTAGCAGACCGTCAGTCAGTCATTACGAGCCATCATCGTTGCGAGCTGATATCCCCATATCATCATAGCTACAGTCGCTCTACTCACGTGTGCGATACGCATCTGCTAACAACAGCAGCAGTGGATTCAAGCACCCATCAGCTCATGCACGGCAGCATAACCCAAGAAAGGAGAAAAGTGTTTTAACGAGACAACAAAAAAAGGACACAAACCGAAACTTCGATCCACCACGCAGAAAAAACTTTCAAAAAAAGTTTCTAAGTAAAGGAGAAACGATCAAGCTGTGGAACCAACTCGGCAACCATAGCTACGTATATACTATTGATATCCATGTCGGCCTTCTCAACCCCGGTCTTTGAGTGGTGGACGAAAAGGGAAAGCGAAAAGGGAAAGAGGGAGGGGGAGGGGGGGAAGGGGGGAAGGGGGGAGGAATGGAGAGGAGTAGCTGTCAGATCAAAACAAAAGATGTTGGTATAGGAACATCAGAGAGGAACACAGAGAGAGAGAAAGAGAGAGAGAGAGAGAGAGAGAGAGATGACAGAGCCAGAGTAGACCGACCAACATGGGGCACACTCACACTAGGACCTTTTCCACTTCTCTGTGGACGTAATTGCGGTCAGGTGCAGTCAGGGCGGGTTGGAAAAGCGGTCATTTCATTTACATCCAGGAAAGTCCTAGTGTGCGTAATGCTGATACACAGAAAGAGACACAAGAGACCGGCAGCCATGGAGAGAGAGACAGAGAGGGAAACGACAAAGATAACCAGGTAGAGAGAAGAGAGATGGACATGATGGACATATCTATCACCTTGGCGAGTTGATCGACGCCGCCTACAAATGATGAGAACGGCAGCAACGCCGACGACAACCGCGATCGGAAGAAGAGACTGTGGACGCGTTGGCGGCCTAAAAGGCCTTCAAGCATTCGTGCTACCCAAGGGCCTCTCGCTCCCTGTGGGACGGTCCAAACTGGGCGCGCGCGCCAATGCTACTCGCTTTCAAGCATTAGCTTTTCGTCGAGTTCGAGCTCTTGACTTTCTGATCACAGGTTGGGTTAGGCGTTAGGAGTCTTGCCCGTCAGCTGCAGGCTGTCTCCGGCTACGGGGGAGCTGATTCACAGCAGGCGCGGCGAAGCTGGGGCCAACTCTAGACCCTGCTCACTGGGAACTCAGTCCCGTGGGAGCACGAACGCAGCCTTGGCGTCGGACACGCCTTGAAGAGGCTTGGAACAAAAGCTAAGCCCGGGGGTAAGGCCGTGACAAATCCTWCGCAGCCTTGGCGTCGGACACGCCTTGAAGAGGCTTGGAACAGAGGCTAAGCCCGAGGGTAAGGCCGTGACAAATCCTACGCAGCCTTGGCGTCGGACAAGCCTTGAAGAGGCTTGGAACAGAGGCTAAGCCCGGGGGTAAGGCCGTGACAAATCCTACGGGAAAGTCGACTACTACCGTCTTCACCCGAACACAACGCACCCTCATTTTGGCTGTATGTGGCAGGAAATATAACTCGTGTACATTCATTTTGGGGTGCGTTATGTTCGGGGAAAGACGGTCGGGAGAAAGGTTCGGGGTAAAAATAAAAAAATAAAAAAAATAAAAAAAAGAGGTTCGGGGTTGTGTGTTCATCTCGTAAGCTCGAGGGGTAAGGCCGTAACAAAATTCTACGAGGAAGTCTAGGGGGGAAGGGTCCGGAGTTGTGTGTTGATCTCGCTGACTGATGGGGTTGTGTGTTTATCTCCCCCGGGCCATGTCACACTGTGGCCGGGAGATTAGTTTATGTTTCGTGTATTTTTCAACGTGGTCACACTGTGGCCGTGAGATTACCAGAACTGAACATAGACAAGTCGGACATGGCCACAAGTCGGACATGGCCGCAGACTTGACGTGGACTAATAATGGTCCTGGTATTTTCTTTGGGCAGACTAGAATGGCATTCAAAGAATATGCCCAGGGCCCATGGGAAACGCGCTGGAGGAAGTTCAGGTGATCCTCTCCATCAGAGAGACAAGGGTTGTGCTCCACTGCAGTTCTTCCAGGACTTTCGTCGAAACAATTTTTCCCTCTCTCGGATTTTGCCTGCCTTGGCTGAAAAATCCCCAACAATCACTAAGCCATATTTCCCCTCTGTTCTCCACGATCGGGTGCTGATTCTGGGGTTCGTGCGACAGTATCATTTTTTATTTTTTTTATTTTTTTTTTTTAAAAAAGGTAAGCTATATTCTTCTCTCATCTATCTCATTTTTCTTGATAGTACGCATCTATCTCATCTTCTCACTATTCTATATATAGTATAGGGGAACACCAACCAACCCGGATCCCTCCCCAGCCCACAGGGTAGGTTGGCACCACAGCTGTGGTGCGAGGGCAATCACGGTGAAGAGGGGTGGGCAGGCATTGCCGATGGGAGAAATCGGCGGTGCTAGCGCCGAGCAATGGCCAGTCACTGCACCTCCCCCTACCCCCCCCCAACCCCACATGGCGGTGTCTAATGGTCGATATTGTCGCTGCATAGCAGCCAACAACATCAGCCAAGGTCCTGCCAATGCTGGCTTGGGGGGCCGACGGGTTATCTCTAGCTGGTAGAACACCAAGCTTGCCCAGGCACATCGTGAGGCCAATGGGGATTGAACCCAGGACCTCCTGAATGCACAGTATCATTTTTCAATAACTCCTTAAACAACTAGTACCTCCGAGCCTGTTTTTGCCGACCCTTAATTTCACTGCGCTGCCGAGCCTGGGTACCACTCCATTTTCTTTGTGCGGGAAAATGCTACAAAAATGACGAATCTGGGAAAATGCTACGAATTCAAATCACTCCCAGGTACTACACGGATCTGGACACGCACGAAAATGACCTGGGTGGGAGAGCAGTCCAGCACGGCACGGAACCTGCTAAAGAAGGATTGGACGGCTACGTAAGACCAAGCTAATCCTATGTAGGAAGGATGAACCAATCAGGGTCGGGCATGGAATCATGTAGTGACCGTACAAGGGAAGGCTCACACTATATGATGAGGGCAAGACCGCATCGGCCCTCACTAGCTATGGGCGGTAGGGAACGGTGGGCCGAGAGGCAAAGGGTGTGTGGCAAGCCTCCTGATGAGACCGGGGCGCACCCGGTTGAAACATGTAGGGGAAAGTGTGTGCGACATGAGCAGTGTACAAGCATGTATGAAACGAAGCTATTCTATTGCGTGTGAAGAGCGATTTTGGCCATTGCTTACCTTTTTCTTCTTCTACTCTCACGGAAAAGGGGGGGGGAAAGTTGCAGCAGTGAAAAAAATAATAAAAATTTAAGTTTTGGCCATGATTCCAGTTGTGTACATTATTGGAAGTGGTAGTATGAGTGTGAAATACCACGGTAGCGGGAGATGTCTCATTGAGGGCATCTTAGCCCCGTGGCCAGGTTGTGAAATTCGAAAAAGATAATAGAAGAGAGAAAAAAATGGGCACGCGGATCTAGTCGTGAAAATGTTTGGATACATTCCCCTAAGTGTTAGTGTGATAAGCGTTACAATCCTCTGACAAAACACAACTTCAGAAGATTGCGGATTCCGCCCTGCCTCATTGGCAGGGGACTCATAAGAAACACACGACAAAAAAAAATAAAAAAACAGTAGCATTCAGAATATGATCGCTTTACCTGTAAGGTGCATTCTGTGAAGGAAGACTGTGAGCACGGCCTCCTATACTACCCTGCACGACATCATTGCAGTAGAAAAGGTAGTTTTTTTTTTACCATTTTCCTTTCACTCGCGGGTACTATAAAACTCATAGTTTGAGACATTGCCGACCCTATGTCCCACCCCCGATTTCTTCGGGAGCTGACAAAAACTTGTAATTTCCCAACGTTGGCGGAGGTACAAGTGGTTTAACAAAGAGTTTAAATGCATAAGATCACAGTTATGCCCTCCACGGAGAGGACGAATTGTCCATGTTGTGTGACATTTTGTCCGTAGGAGTCTCGAAAGAGCCGCTGGGTGGAGGCTTCACGAATTCTAACAGGAAGAGCCTCGTTCTTAAACCGCCAATGGTGCAGCACAACCCGGATTTGCCCAGCAGGTAACCACTGAGTGCTTTCCAGCCCAGGAAAATAGGTTGGGCACAGCCTCGGACCGGGTGTAGATTGAAAATGCATCCGCCCTCTAGTCGATGGGTTTAAACGGTCTCTAGACGACAAACTGAAAGTGTGAAACCGTTTGGGCAAGAGGCGGGCGTCTCTTGGAAACTGACCTTTTTTCCACAGCAACAAGAAGCCATACATTTTTGACACCAAGAAAGCCAAGAATCCACGACACTGTCGCGCCCATCCTGACTGCTCTCTCGTCTTCCATCCCGCCAGCTACCAGGTGACATAGACGAGTGAGTAGACAAAGAACACTCACGCCTTTCCTCTTCCTCATTTCTGCTCTTCTTCTTGCTATTCATATCTATATATGACAGTCATTAGAACTATGTGCAGTCACTAAAGACTCCGACTACCGACTACAATGTGTGTGTGTATGTGTGAAAGAGAGAGAGAGGTCGGCGATACCTTTCTTTTTTATTTTATTTTCTTGTTGTTGGTGTTTTATGTGACCGTAATTACGTCTAAGTGCAGTCACCAAAGCCTACCACTGCCTATGACGGTCAAGAGACAAAGAGAGAGAGAGAGGCTACGTTTTATTTTTTGCCATTTTTTTGTTATTTTTTCTTGTTGTTTGTGTCCGTATGTGCCCATAATTACGTCCAAGTGCAGTCACCAAAGCCCCCCAACTTTTTTTTGCTCTTTTCTTTTGTTGTATGTCAATAACTGCATCTACAGTCACTATGTTGTTGGTGTCTGTATGTGACTGTAATTACGTCTAAATGCAGTCACCAAAGCCTACCCGCTACTGCCTATGATGATGAAGAGACTGAGAGAAAGAGAAGCCACACCTTTTTTTTTTGTCATTTTTCGCTCTTTTTCCTTGGAGTTCGTGTCCATATGTGCCCGTAACTACATCTAAGTGCAGTCACCAAAGCCCCCCGACTTTTTTTTGCTCTTTTTTTTTTGTTGTATGTCAATAATTGCATCTAACTGCAGTCACCACACCCCCTCCATTGTCGGGGCAAATACCGTGACAAGGGTATTTGCCGAGGATTTTAAACGTCGGACGTTGTCCGACTTTTTTGGTTGAATTGAAGGACTCGATGAGACTGACGTTTGCCAGAAGTTCATTCAGACTCAACCTATGATTAAGAGACTAAAAGTTTTTAAACTTTAGTTCGGGCGCTTCTGGCATCGAAGAGTAAAGACAGTAGTTGACAGTGCTTTATTTTTGTTGAAGTTGCAGAAGCGTGCGGACATGGAAAGGCTAAAGTAAGTAGTCGCGCGATTCAGGTTCTAAGTAGGCTAAAAAGGGTGGCCGCGCTAGATGTTGGGTCACAGTGCGAAGGAAATAGAAGGCCGGGCCATGAGGTCTACTCCGTACGGAGGGCCTAATACTGTTTTGCGGCCGGCTGCGGGCCGCAAAGTTGGGCCGCCTGCTGAGTTGTGTAGCAGCTAGAGGTGAGGCAGGCTGAGTCTACCCAGCTACAGTAGGTGGGCCTACAGGGAAGAAAAACGAGTTGGGGGATCAGCTCCCATGATAGGAGCTAACCCAGTAGGTACTGCCATTTGATTTTCACCCTGCAGATTCATAGATCGAGCCCAACCGCACGAATCCTACTGGGCCAGCTCCTTTTGGAGCAACCACAACATGAGGTTGGGCGCGAGCGATTTCGTCCGTGTGATCTCCGAGATCGCGCGGGTGAAATCAGCCGCGCTGAAATTGGCATAGCCCTGTGCAAGGATGACACGCATAAATCGAGAAATTGTCCAATTTTTATTTTCGATCCTGATTGGGATCGACCTCGAGTCTGTATTTCAACAGGTTGTGGGATTCCCACACATGAAGAGACCGTTCGCGTTGCCAACGGAAWAAAAAAAAAAAGGAAAAAAAAAAAAGGAAAAAAAAAAAAAGTATAACGA